TGTTTACTGTGTTAGAAGTTTTATACTTCCAATTTCCCAGTAATATAAGGTCTTTCTCTCTGAGTCTTGGGTCACAAATCTGCATCAACTTATGAAAGAATTTCTGATTCTGCATAATGTTTTATGCTGCACTTGATTATAGGATGTAAATTGTTCTGTTAGTATTTTCCCTTTCTACGCTTGCTCCTGCTAGAAGTTCCCTATTATATTTATCATATTCCTTGATAAGATATCATTCTGTCACTGAATCTTCTATCTCTCACCTTCAGGAGGCTCAAAAACGTAGTAATAACTGGTTACCTCCCCCATGGGCAATAGTGGCAATGGTTGTTCTTGGCTTTAATGAATTTATGATGCTTTTAAGGTAATTACAGTTTTTTAGTTAGAGTTGTTGGTTTTTTTTTTTTAATTAATTTTTAAATTTATCTCCTTGGCTACTGCTTAAATCTCTACTCATCTCACCCCTTCTTTTCTCTAGATGAGCTATCCCAGTTTCCACAGTTCCAACAATTTGGATGTTCACAGTTCACATATCAATTTTTCCTACAATCCTTGTAATTGCTTTACTAACAATGTTTCTACTCTATTGAAACAGGAATCCTCTTTACCTCATGGTTCTGTTTGTTTTATATTTACTATCAAAAGCCTTATTGGTACAGATGAATGTTGCAGAGCAGTTTCAACATGGCACTGTGAGTATATGGAAGAGAAACTAATCTTTTCTGCTTGGTTCTACTTTTTGTTGAGACATGATCAGTTTTTTGAATTACCTACAGTTTGATAATCCTCCCTCTACTTGTTTACTAGACAACCACAACCATGTGGCAACAATACATAGTCAGAACATGCGCAAGCCAGTTTTATTTTCTTCTCTCTCGTTGAACTTTTACATTGCTTTGAGGAACTGCAGAAATTTGTTTTAACCTCTCTTTAGGATTGCTGTTTCTAGCATTATATGATATCTAATAGGCACCATATTATGTCTTCATTGGTGCTATCAATGCCATGCCAAAATCAACCTGAGTGTTGTGCCAAAAAAAAGAAGGGAAAAGAAAAGAAAAGGCAATTCTACCAAATCCACACACAAGTCACCAGTTTTAGCCATGGCACGAATTTAGAGTCACATTATTTAGCTTGCTGCTGAAGCCTGAAAGTATGGTGGAAAATTGTATTTGCCCATGCATGTAGCTGAATTATTTTTCAACTTGTCTGTGTCACACGCTCTCATTTATTCTCTTTTGTGGATCCAACCTGTTCTTTTAAGATGGTAGCAAAGGCTATATATGAAAAACAGCTGTCGTATATTTCTAGTTGCTCCAATTACAAGGGAGATTGCTAGTATATGATATAGCAGCTCCATTCTAGTTTCCTTGCTTCAATTATAAAACTAGTTGGTTGTGAACTGATACCAAGTTTTATCTCCTTGGTTGCTGTCTAACAGTTGGCTGGATTGATCTCAATATCATCAAGGTTTCTTCCGACTCTCATGAATCTTCTAAAACGACTTGCAGAAGAGGCTCAAGGTCAAGCAACTCCTGAAGCCCCAAGACCATCACCGCCAGTGCGAATCCCTGAATCGTCCATATCATCCAACATTTCCTCATTGGATGACGACCAGGAATATTCAAGCCCCAATTTAACACAGAGAAGAAGCATAAAAATTGAATCAGAACTTTCTTGATAAACCAGTCGTCCTGTGGCATGTATCAAAATAGGTCAGCAATGCCCTCAAGAAATATTTTTCTTTACTTAGAAACGAATAATGGGGGGATATGACAAGGGGGAAATGAGTTGGGTGCTCTAATATGTTGGCGAATAACATTTTCACCAAGAAATAATCTTGGATGGAGGATGCTTCGGCTGTGTTATAGGTCAAGTTATAGTGACCGTACCCAAATTTCTGGGAAGTTCTATGTGTACCTACACAATTTTTTAGTGTTTATTTTTATTTATTATTTTTAGTGTAAAATTTACTTGAATGAAATCTTTCTCATCACAAACGAAATTATGGACAATAGCAGGAAATGATAATTCAGCTTCTTGCAAGTTTATTTTTATTTATTTTTTATATGAAAAACTATTTTACAGTTTGATATGAGTTTGCCTTTTATCTTAGGGTCCGTGTTTTGTTCCAGATTGCAAAATAACACTCTTGATATTATGGATGGAGGAGAATTGAACCCACTTTTTTTTTTTTTTTTTTTAATTTAAGCCTTATATTGGTTTTGGTTTCTATACTTAAATGCCTTGAGCGAAGATTGAAACTTGCACTGTAAGGTCGAGTGCCCTTACAAGATTCTCAAAATTGCAAATATCAGTGGAAAAGTGTAATGTAAATCACAAAGTACAAAACTCCGGAAAAAATTTAGAAAAAACTGGCGAGGTGACCAATGGTAGGGAGGGTGTGCGTGCGGAGAAAGTCTTCAATTTGTATTTTTAAAATCTAGGGAGCAGCCTCATCCTCTGTCTCAAATGGCTCCACCGGCGGGATAGGATTCTTATTCGTTGACTTCTGCTTGCTTCACTTATCTGTTTCTGTTGGACTACTTGTTTCCTCCTCAATCGGCGGCAGATGATGGCAGAAGATTGCTGCGCCACCCAATTGACCCACGGAAACGGAAAGTTCAATGTCCAGGGGCTCCACAACTTCATGCTCACTACGAACCTCTCTCAATGTGGCCTCTCCTATGCTGTGGTAGCCATCATGGGGCCTCAAAGTAGCGGTGAGAGGATTTAGTTTCATCTCACTTCGGTTTCAGTAGAATTTGAGCTCATGCATGCTTCAAGTAGATCCCAGGAGTTGGTTTTTGTTTATTTAAGTTTTGGTAGTTTTGGATATTACAGCATTTGAAAGGATTTGCCTTTTTAACTTCGAGTACAGAAGTATCCCAGGAAAGTAAATTTGTAGAAGAAATAAAACAAGTGGAGCCAATTAGGATTGAGGTCCTTTATCCGCCCTTATTAAGTTTCAAACTTAAAACGTCCAACTTGGATAAAGTTCTTACTGGCTGACACCCTCTTGAGGCATAACCATCAAGTGCTAACTACTACTAGTTGAAATATTGAACAATTCTTCTCCTTGTTTCAAATGCTAGGCCTAAGTGAGCACAAATTTACTACTCCCTCCATTCCTTTTCAGAAGACATAATTTGATTTTTTGACATTCTTAACATAAATTTTAGATAAAACTTTAACAATTTATATGGATGATAATTGAAAAGTTTCTTTTTTTCTTATAGGAAATTCTTGCTGAATATTTTTATTTGACCAAAAAAAATTTTCAATTATTATTAATTAATATGTTAAATTTTCATCTAAAATTGATGCCTAAAAAATAAAAAAATAAAATTAAGTCTACCAAAAAATAATTAGAGGAAGTATTGTTTTTTCTTGTTCATGTATACAGTCGACAACAATGTGTGAGTCTTTTCAGATTATGATTGTGCTTCTTATGCTCAAACAGTAACTTTTTGGCCGATTCTCTTCTGTTTAATAGGAAAAAGCACGCTAATGAATCATCTTTTCTATACAAATTTTAGAGAAATGGATGCCTTCAGAGGAAGGTTGGTAACTTCGTTTTCTTGCAATTTTTAGTTTCAAAAGGAAAATATTTTATCCTATCTGCCTTCATGTATGTTTCTTCATATGCTTACACATTGCTGTAAGCTGAGTGATCCTTGCAGGAGTCAAACCACCAAGGGGATTTGGATAGCAAAGTGTGTATGTGTTAACCTTTCACAATTGCCATGGATTTGGAGGGTACTGATGGAAGAGAAAGAGGGGAGGTATTTAAATTCAATATTCAATGTTGAAAAAGAATTTTTGGGTAGATGAAGCAGCCTTATGGTTACTGCCTTCTTTTTGTATTTAAATTTGGCTGTAATTACCAGGGAACATTTTGATGCACTCATGAACTCTGGTTATTTTGCAGGATGACACTACATTTGAGAAACAAAGTGCCCTTTTTGCTTTGGCTATTGCAGACATTGTTCTTATAAACATGTAAGGTGAGCAGCCTGTTTCTAAGCTACAATTGATATATTTAATGGTTGCCAGCATTTACCTGAAGCTTGGTTTGGCTTTGGGTCTGGCTTAGACTAATGGATCCCCATTGT